GACTGGTCTGGCCTCACACCTCCTTCCTGTCTTACAGGTGAAGGCACTGAATCCTAGAGAGGTGGCAGTCAGGGCTCAGACCCAGATCTCTGGGCGCCACAGTGAAGGTTCTATAGAGAAGCGAGCTGGGACTGCCTTGGGGACTCTCATCTCAGCTGCAGGGCAGGGAGGAGCCCATAGGAGAGAGCCTTCGAGGGCAACTCTGTTTGTTCCCCTTTGTCCCCAGGACTTGGGAGAAGTGGAGGATGCAAACAGGGTGGGCACTGGATGGCTCAAGAAGGCCCCTGCTTGGCACACTGGGTAGGTGGCAGTGTGGTGAGGCAGTTAGGAACAGGGACTCGGGAGCCAGCCAGCTGGATCTGAATCCTGGCTATGAGCACTTCTTAGCTGGTGGCCCAGCAGACTCTGAGCCTAAGCATCCTCATCTGGGAGATGGAGACCAGAAGCCCCTGAGCTCACAGGGCTGCTGGAAAGGTGCTAAAAGACCGTCCACGCGTGGTCCTCAGCTCTGTGCCTGGCACAGAAAGACTCAAAACCAAACCCCCCTGCCCTTGAGCCCCTTCCGACTCAGAGCCACTCCATAGGACAGGGGGAACTGCCCCTGTGGCTTTTCCAGACTGGACCACTGTGGGGAAGCAGAGAGCCTCGTCTTTCTCCTGCACAGCGCTGGTGGGCTGGCAGTGAAAGCCCACCATGTAACCATGATGGCACCGGGGCTCCGAACTGGCACCTAGGAAGGGCTCAGTAACAGGATCCCGGTGGCACAATGGTTAAGTGCTCTACTGCCCTCTGACCCATCAGAGGTTAGAGCCCACCAATGACAATGGCTCTGCAGGAGATCAGACCTGGCGATCCATCTGCTCCGAGGCAGACTGGTGCCCTTGGACACACGAGAGGGCAGTTCCACCCTCCGACCTGCAGCCTCCTGAGAGGTTGGAATGGATGTGACAACACCCAACCACTGTGACTATAGCGGTGCCCTGAGCGTGGACTTGGACTGGGGCCACCTCCCACCCGCCTCCAGAGGCAATTCTAGGAAAACAGAGGCCGGAAAGGGTCGCTTCAGGGAAACCACGGCGGGCTGGCGGGTGGCCCGCAGCTCCGCTCACTGGCCTCCTTCAGTTCTGTCCAATCTGGGTCACAGCCGTGCAGCAGCGCCGGAGCCCACAGGCTGCTCTCAACGCTGTCGGTGCCAAGGCAGCTGCTCCCGAGTGGAACACCAAGGGCGAGGCTGCTATTTATAACACGGCGCCTCCGAGGGACTGGAAGAAGCGGGCCCATCTGAAGGGACAGCTGGCCTCAGGTGGCTGCTGAGAAGGGCCACCAGGGGTCTGAGGGAGAGAGTGCGCCCCAGCCCCACCCAGCAAGTCTCTCCCCTGGCATCCACAGCTGGGATGAAACCCCTGCAGCCGGATCTGATCCGATCCTGCCACATCCACATCCCAGGCCTGCAATGGGAGCAATCAGCCTCCTTGGAGGAAGGGAAAGGGGAGGAGTCAAGACTGGCTTAAAAACAAAGACCACACCCTCTCCCAGGAAGCCAGTTCTGACTCATTGGCAACCCTACAGGACAGAGTTGATCTGCTCCACAGGCATTCACTAAGCCTACAAAGCTTTATGGGAGCAGGCTGCCTCTTCTTTCTTCCACAGAGCAGCTGGTGGGTTTGAACCGCCAATCTTGTAGTTAGCAGTCTAGCCCTTAACACACAGTGCCACCAGGGGTCCTTTCAAACTGGCAGAGAAGTACACACACATAAACACCTGAGAGCTACACTGACTGCCTTGCAGACAAAAATCATTGCATGGTCTTGCTGCACATATTACACATGCAGGGACCAGGACGACTGCATGGCAGGTGTGGCCTGGGAGCTTCCTCGCATACAGCTCCTGGGGCCCTACCCGAGACCTCCGCCTCAGGATCTGCGTTTGCACAAGCTGCCTCCTGAATTGTGCACACACGGATGGGCACATGCGCACGCACAGAGGTGGCCTCTGAGTGAGCTCATGCTGCGATGAAGATAATCTCGCACGTGCTGACAAATGTCCTGAGGCAGCAGGACAGGTCTGCGGGAAGGAGGAAGCTAAGGTGGTCAGAGAAGGCTTGCAGGAGGAAGTGATACTTCAACTGGGATTTGAAGGATGAGGGGACATTTAGCCAGAAAATTATAAATATATGTGTGTGTGTGTGTGTGTGTGTTAGAGAGAGAGAGTTTGTGTGTGTGTGTGTTTGGGGGATGGAGGTGTATTCCAGGCACAAAGAACCATATATATATATATATCCGCTCCCCTCAAGTCAGTTCTGACTCATGATGACCCTACAGGACAGGGTAGAACTAACTACCCCTGTGGGTTTCTGAGACTATTAACTCTTTATATTATATTATTATTCTGAGACTATTGACTCTTTATATATTAACTCTTTATATTAACGCTCCCAGGGAGCGACTGGTGGTTTTGAACTGCCAGGCTTGTGGTAATCAGCCCAGCGCATAACCACTATGCCACCAGGGGCCCCAGCCCAAAGAGCAGAGAGTGCTGAAGTGCAGAGGCAGAGAGTTTGTTAGAACACAGCTGGTTGCCCTCCCCACCCCCACCCCCAGAGCTTATCATTAAGTTGGTCCACGGTGGGGCTTCCCTGAGGAGCCCTGGTGGCACTCTGCAGAAAGTATTGGTCTGCTAACTGCAAGGTCAGTGGTTCAGACCCCGCCAGTGGCTCTGCGGGAGAAGATGGGGCTGCCTGCTGCTGTAAGGATTTACAGCCTGGGATACTCTATATAGGGTCACTATAAATCAAAATAGGAGCCCTGGTGGCATCATGGGTGA